CTCCTAAAACTTACCTCGTTTACAGCTCACTAGTAAGTCAGGAAACGAAAAGAGGATGGCGGTGTGGCTATCATTCCCGATCCTTCAAAGGAATTGAGCATATCAAGAATGAATGATTGACTGAAGGATTAAAAGTCGATAATAATTAAGGATCAAGACGACAAAAAATAATAACATAGTTAAAAATAATAGTAACAATTTGTCAGTACTTAATGATTATATCCATAGTGAATAATTATTGTAGAGACGAGTCAATCCAGTAATAATTAACTATGCCGTCTGCCTCCAAACATCTTATATCAAGAATTCATGGTACACTGTGATGGCGAGGCACTTAGTGGCATGGTGGCCACATTGCAAACTTGACTAATAGTATTCATAAAACACAAAATAATTGAGCGAGGAATATTCTTTTCGATAATTTCCTCTTCTGGATCGACAATAAGATAATAATAAGATAATAAGTTATAATAATAAAGATATAATAGCAACTAGAATATCAGCTAATATTAGAAAAATGCCACAAAAATTCAGGATTATTCAAATCTAGATGGCCAAGGTAAAGATAATGTCTGAACTAACTTCTTTTGGATGCAAAAATTAGGCTTGTCAATATGTATCCCAACAGCCTCAGCAATATTTAGTAATCGATTTCTTAAGACGAAATTGAGATTTGTTGGTATGCGGTAGATGACTTTGGAGGCTGCCTCGATGACATCAATCTTGTGTTCTCTTATCCACAAGATGAGATAGAATAGAGCTATGAATGGATTTCGTTTATCCTTTACTTAACCATGTAGAATGATGTATGGAAATCCGAGGAAAAAAAACGCCTAATTGTGTGGCTTTTGTAACCGGCTCCACAGGAGCGGTCAACACCAAACAGAGGACTAGACACATTACACAATAATTACTATAACAAGAGTCCAATCTAAATATAAACTGCATATTGCATGGCTGGATTTTCTTGGGACTTTAGATGGAAACTGTTTACAACTTGAATCGACATAGTGAGATTATATATATACACATATAAGCAGATATGTTCAAACTGGATCTATTTGATTGAGATATGTAAAGCCTGAAGAAGCTCATGAGTTTCAGTCCTAATTTTCCTAAGCATCTTGTATATACCTCGCCAAGGACTGTGTTATTTTTTTTTTCAAAAGAATGGTTACTGAACAAAGAATATACTTTTCGATAAATTCATCATCACATATGTATGCATTATAATGAATGAATTAGTATTGTTAACAATATGATTGTTATTGAATTGAATTTTTGATTTTCCCGTCGATTGATTGGACCGAAGTGCTCGGTCTTAGGTTGACATGTCGGCTTCTTATGCAGATGCTTCAACGATGTCTGTGCATTTAATAAGTATACAATTGGTGGATGGTGGCTAGCAGTGGAATGGGACGAAATGCGCATCCTGGATTCCACTGCTAGCCACCATCCACCAATTGAATATGAATTTTGTTTAAATAACATCAAATCAATAGGAATAATATCAGTGGATTACAGTTCGATAGCATCAACATAACAATACACTGATTGTCAGACAGGCAAATTAGGAAAGATGATAGTACAAATTCATGAATTTATAGTCTCTACTGAAGGTCAGGGCAGTAGAAGTAGATGGAGTCACTTCTTCTGCACACAGAGTACCGGTTGTTTAAGGTGAATCACAATAGCCTCTGCTGTTCGGAGCATACGGTACCTTAAGGTTTTTGACGATTTATTTGGTACCCAGTAGATGATAGAGAAAGATTCTTCAATGCTGGTTTTGTGAGTGGTTTGGACTAGGCGGCCTAATATTACACTGTTGATGCTTTTCACTACACTTATTTAGCCACACTGGTAGATGTTACCGAGCACGAGAAATCAAGTTCCTGGAGCAACGGACGATATAACTCGCTCCACAAGCGTAGTTGAATTGGTAGATACAATTAGAAGTGGCTAGTCTAGGTACTTCATCTTTCAGCTGTGTAAAATGAAACTGTTTCAACCAGTTTGACTGCTCTTATAGAGTCAGTTACACTGGCCGTTGCTGTATTCTTCCATGTTCGGAAACACCTACCATTGTCTGTCTGGATTCAACATAGAACTTGGTACCGAAGTGCACCAGTTCGAGTTGCCACCTTCCAAATAGCACACAAAGGTAGACAAGAAGATGAGTGAAGAGAATCAATACAGTCTGACAAGTATAAGAGTGAAACAGAATGGGTAATGGTAGAAAGGAATATGAAAGATTACAGAGACTGAATACATCTGCGCTGGTCATTGACAACGATTTTGAGCCATGTCACCTATTGTCTCCAGCCATTGATTCCTAGAGTCCCGAGGGCCCCAACCCGGAAGTCTGCATCTCCCTACCTGACCGACTCAGTTTAACTGTCAAGGATTTCATGGATTGATGCCATGTTTTTGTTTGGCCACCACTTACTCTTTTCCAACCTGCACCTATATCAGCTAGTAATGCCCGTTGGGGGAGGCGATGGTTAGGCATGCACAGGACGTGACCTAGCCATCTCAATCTATGTAACTTTATAGCCTCGTCGATTGATTTTCCCTCTTTGCCCAACACTCTACGCCTAACGTCAACATTACTTACTTTATTAAACCACCTAACGTGAGACAGAGATCGCAGACATCTATGATCGAAAGCAGTCAACCTTTTCATGTCTTCAACTCGTATTGGCCATGTTTCAGAGCCATAGAGAAGGACGGAGCGAACTGCTGAGCAGTACACACGTCCCTTGGTTGATAACCGGATGTCACGCCTACGCCAGAGATGGTGTAAGTCAGCGAAAGCAGCTCGAGCTTTTCGGATCCGTGCTGAGATTTCATCGCCAATCAGTCCGTTGGTGCTAATACAACTTCCCAAATAGGTGAAGTGGTCAACATGTTCTATCACTTCACTCCCTATCACTAAGTTAGGAGTTGACGTAGTCCAGTCCTGTAGCAGCATCTTACATTTTGTAGGGGCGAATCGCATGCCAAACATACGAAGATTGCTGCTCAAGGTGTTCAGAAGACTCTGCATTTTGTCAGCATCCTCCCCTAACAGGACTATGTCATCTGCATATTCTAAGTCCATAAGACTATTCCCTGGTAACAAGTCGATTCCTAAGTCATTACGTTCAGTTAAGGATACTTCCATCAGCATATCTATGATGAAGTTAAACAGAAATGGGGAAAGTGGACATCCCTGTCGGACACCACTGGTTGTTATCAATTCAGATGACAATTCCCCATAAGCCCTTACACGACTACGTGAGTTTGAATAGAGTGCCTTGATTAGTGCAATGTACTTTCTTGGCACTCCCTTCACAGTCAGACATTGCCATAGTACCTTTCGATCCACGGAGTCGAAGGCCGCCTTCAAGTCAAGAAATATGACAATTGTTGGACGCCGAAAAGTGTGTCTATGTTCTAGAATCTGTCGAAGAGTGAAGATATGATCTATGCACCCTCTACCTGGTCTAAAGCCTGCTTGATTTTCCCTTGTCTGTTCCTCCCGAGTTCTGCTTAGTCTATGCATGATTACTGAGCCTAGGATTTTAGAGACTATGTTCGTTAGGCTGATCCCCCTATGATTATCACACGAGGACTTGTTTCCCTTCTTGAATATCGGTATAATAATTGACTTACCCCTGTCTGATGGCACTGTCTCTGATTCCCACACTTTGCCTAGTACCTCAGTTAATCTACAAACTAGTATGTCACCCCCATATTTAAACACCTCCGGAATAATTCCGTCGGGTCCTGCCGCTTTGCCTCGTTTCAAATTACTGATAGCTTTTGTAACCTCACCTACAGACGGCGGACCAGTGTCTATATCCCATTCGGGTACGTGGTGGATGTCGGGGAGGTTCAGTGTGGCTGTAGGCAAGTTAAATTGTCCCTCAAAGTGTTCTTTCCAGCGTTCAAGGCGTCTATCCTGAGAGCTAATTAAGGAGCCATTTTTCTCAGAAATAGTCTCACTTATGATTTGCCTTCTCCCACCCGTTTCCCTGATGAGTCTAAAGAGTTGCCTAGTGTTACCTATCGCCAATGCTTTTTCCATCTCTACCTACCATTGTAGCTAAATAGACATGTATTCAACAGCATTAGATCGCCTGATCCAAAATAGTCATAAAATCAGGCACTGAAGAATCTTTATCATCTATTGCGTACCAAATCAATTGTGTCAAAAGTCTCTAGGTTACTGTGACTAGCTTGAAACAACCAGAGATCTCTGTGTGCAAGAAACCCCTCTCCGATCGCTACTGCCACCCTGGCCTGCTGTGGAACCTGTGAACTTAGAAATTCTGTATAATTTTTTAAAATTTATATGATATATTTAATTTAGTGTTATAGTGATGCATATTATCGCTTAAATAGATGCTTTCGAACTGTAATACATCGATATTATTGATCTAATGTTATTAAAAAAAAGCATTAATGCTGTTATTATCAATTATTCTCCAACCACTGTGATTCTCATAATCGTAGAACTTGATGAAGAAGAAGTTGTCGAAAAGAATATTCTTTCTTTTTTCACTACCACTCTCAGTGTTTAAAAAAGGCCGTTGTCATCTGTCGTGACAACAACTAGTGTGTAAAAATTATTGAACTGTCAAGGTTATTTTGTAGCAGAATTCCATACTTCTTTGATTACAACCAATCTGCTCAATGTGTGTTTGTTTATCTAACAATCTATTGATTTTTGAAAGATTGACACACACACACACATACACTTAAACAGATCAATAAAACTAATTCTGTACAATAAATTGTACGTTCAAAGTACAAGTAAAATAAAAATGTAGCGTGCACAAACAATCGAAGTCTTAACGAAATTCTCATGTTTTTATTTTCTATTTTTACTTGATCGGAAACCCAAACACTTGCTTATTACAACATAATCTAAATGCTAAAAGTTCAAACCGAATTGTTTGTTTTGTTTTTCAACATATGACATTGAAAATTGATCATTTGTAAGCACAATCATTGAAATGAATGTAGAAGAAAAGAAGGCAATGGATAGCTGCACACATCAGCTGATTGCTGCGCACATTTCTACCTCAGATGTTACTTACCTTTGTCTTAAACGGATTGGAAGCATTCTTCGTAGTGTAAACCGTAAGTCAGCATTCCGAAACTACAAAGTAATGATCATTTATTGGCAGATACCTTCCAACCAAATACACTCGCAGTACATGAAATGAGCAAAGAATTATCCTGCAGTGTGGAAACACTTATTTCACCGAAGAAATTTCCGCCTGACAGTTATCCACGACAAACGTCTTCGTTGCGTCAGTACATCCCATAATGGAGTGAAATATTCGTAGGACATGAGTGACATCTGACGCTGTCTTTCTCCTACAAAAACCAAACATTATTGGCAAATAACTGGAAAAGACTGAATCTTAAGACATTACACCAGTATCTCTAGGAAACTCTTAGAAAACTTAATTTGTTGATAGAGGCGGAAACATATTACATCAATTTGTCCATTTGAACTCTTTATCCAAACCTGACATGTTGATGCTAACAGTTGCAGAGCCTCATCCATACTTTTCATATCTACAGTGACATTAGCCAATTATCACGTTTTCCAGGGGTTCTCTAACTGATGTCAGCTCATGATGAAATCCTCCATGTAATCTATATACCTCCGAACATTTCTTTCCTCAATTTAACGACATCTTTTCGCGTTATACATTTTCCGAATTCCAAGAAGACTGCACTCCTCAGTTCAGCAGTTGGCATCATATATATATATATATATATATATATATATATATATATATATATAACCATACCATTTCCTAAAGCCTTCTCCTCCTCAGTTAGGCAACGTCTGCTAATGTCCACCATCATAAATTCGTCTGTGCACGGATGCTGATATACATCCTTCATATTACCTACTTCCAGGCATCCATTAACTTGATGTACAGTCCATGTACTTTGAACTCATTAAACAAGAACCGAAAAAGGCAAATATACACTTACGGTGTTCGAGACCTAACTCCTTCAGACCGACTTCGGCGTTTTTGACCGAAGGTACACACATAATTCACACGTTCATACAGTGGAATCAGATTACTGGTGTCGGTACAACTGCTTCTCACAACATAATGAGCGTGTGCAACCTTACTGAATTCTTTAAAGGCATTCTCAAATGCATACAACGTGTTAAAACGTTTACAACTCAAAATTCAGGTAAATACATCCACCACGTCGTCAACCATCAATAAAAACACCCTTTTGTTTCACGCCCCTTTTTCAGCAGTTAACACTACTTCCGTATTGCCACGACATATACACAAACTCGAAACTACCAATCACAACGCGAAAAAATGACCTTCAAGTGCTCAGCCTCTCCATTGCATAAAAGTGTCTATCATTATTACAAATAATTAATGAAGCGAAATCAATTGAAATATATTTTCGGAAATGATGAAAACAAGAAAAACGAAAAAAATTATAAAACAATTAAACAAAGTAATAAAATAAAAAATAAACAAATAAACGAAACAAAACAATAAAGTTGAAATTTAAAAAATAAGCAGTAAAAAATACAGCGAAATGGCGATGTAGATCATGCTGACTTAAGAATTCGACTTCCGGGCTATTGAGTGTTAGGATCATATTCTGTTTCGTCTACTTTACCTGTAAGCAACTAGATAGTCGTGGATATCATTAGCTCTCCTCATCATATGACAAGTGTGGCTCATAATCTCTCACAGAGAGGGAGTTTTGAGTTCTAAGAGTCATAGGTTATTTCAATGCATAAGTTTTATTCTTTCAAGTTATTATTATTGTTTCCCAAAGCTCCTAGAGGAACATAGGGCTTCAGCCTCATGTCTCCATTGCGTTCGGTTCTCCACCAACGTTTCCACCTGCCTCCACGTCTGCCCACATGCTTTCATCCCCTCTTCACATGACCTACTCCATGTCACTCCACTCCCACGCTGGCGACCAACTCGCTGCCTCCCATTCGAGTTCTATTCGAGCAATGGCCTGGCGCGTGATGTTACTCACTTGGTGGTTTTTTCAGAGTATGGTCAACCTACCTCCATTTATTCCTGCATATTTGTTGCACAGTCAGTCCATGCTGCTTTGCTTTGTTCATTACCAGAGATCATTGTTGCTGATCTTTTCTGGTTGGCCATCTGATCTTGAATAGTATTGAGCGAAGACAGCTGTTGATGGAAGTCTGTAGGTTGTTCGAAGCGCCCTTCGGGACGTGCAGTGCAAGTCTGTGATCCGTCCAGTGACAGGCACTGACTTCACATTGGAGTAATGAGGGGTTGCCTTGCTTTCCAGATCCTTGATTCGATATCCTCATCAGTTCCGCTGCCTTTAGTTGAAACGATGCTTCCCAAGTAGGTAAGTGAACGAGACTGCTTCTTTCAGATTTCTCCCATTTATGATAATTATTGTCTGTTGGTGTTGGTGTTGCTGTTGGTCAGGAATCTTCATCAACTAATTCTGTTTTCTCTATGTTCACCTGGAGTCCCATCTTCTCTGGAGGCTTCTTCTGCCAACTTGTCGCTGCTTTTCACTTACATATCTTCCAGTTTGTGGAAAATCGGACATATATCATCGGCGAAATCCAGATCCTCCAAGTTTTTTATGTGAGTTCAATTTATGTCTGTCTCCTAGCTGCCCGACCTGCACTCTGTCGCATTATCCAGTCTACCACAATCAGGAAAATCATTCAGATAATTTCATACATAAATGTATATACCGGTGGCCTGCTTATACTTTGAGTTACTGAAAATCTTCATCAATATATTATAAATATTATCTCTTATTCGTTTTGTTTCAATCTAGTAAACTGTGACCTTTAATAGTATTTTTGACTCTGGCGAGTATTTAAAATATTTAAAACCTGCTGATTGGGATTATTTCAATTGAACATAAGAAAAAGCATTATCCTCGATGGTTGGCGGCTTATCCAAATACATGAGATGACCGTTCCCAATTGGCGGGTGTCCTTGATTCACCAAAATGTAATCCTGAATGTTTTATAATCGGCATTGAACGAAATATCGTCGTGTATTTCTCGAAGAGTACAAAGAGAAGAGATATTATAATAGGTTGGTTTGCGCTTCAGATTGGATAGAACTGTGTCACACGATCTATACTGTCAATTAGTTTTCTAATTTGAAGATCCTGGAAAAAGAGAAAATATCATGCAATAAACTTTGCTGAAAATTCCGTACATTCTGTAAAAATTGTTTAACATAAAGCTATTGTTACTGCATAAAAAGGCTGTAGGATACAGAGTTGACAATGCCAGAAGCAGATAAGGCCAAAAATGAGAGAAATCTCAGAACATCGTATCAGATCACCAGGTTTCTGTCCGTGAAGAGATCAGCAATGGTGAAACCAATGAAGAAACCTAAATTCCATAGAGGAGAAGGCACTGAAACAGTGGGTTAATCACATTAAAACACTTCTGAATCGAACATCATCTGCAACTCATCCTGAATTACCACCAACGGCCATAGAACCAACGGTGAACAGCAGTCCACCGGCAAAGGCAGAATCTGATGCTCACTGGTGATTGGCCCCTATTCAGGTAGGTAGTTACTTGGGTTCTAGTGGGAACTAGGTGACCAGTGGGGTACAGCGGGTCAGGTGTGAGGACAGATACTCGCTAGCGATGACACTGGCTAGTGGTCACTATATGTTGTGAATTAGGGGAAGTTGGAACTCATGGGCTAGCCATTGGATTAGGTCCCTGTGGCTGAATGGTCTACGAGCTCACCTTGTAGCTGAAAGGTCCTGGATCTGAACCCCAGTGGATGCGTACCGATGAAGAGTCCCAAATCAGGAGGAAATAGATGTTCAGTACTCCCTGGCTGGGATTCCAATGTTTCTCTAACAAATATCGGCCCATGATGAAATCCTGTAGCAAAAGTAGAAGTCTTGAATGCCATAAAGTTATTAAAAGTCAGGTAGCTAGAAGAAACAAGTGAAATTTCCCTGAAAGGAGTGAAGAGGGATTGTGAGACTTTAGTTGATATGCTGATGTCACTATAACAGATGGATTGTGATATGAAATTGATATTTAGTCATTTGATTGATTTTATTTTTCCAAATCACGCTATTATAATATTATAATGTACTAGTCAGCGTATTGGTGGATACATATTCCTTCTCCTATTCTGTCTTCTCCCTAGATCTGTGGTCACCGTAGCCTTACAATTCGCGTAATTTAATCTCGTGCAGATAAATTTTAGGAAAATGTAAAAGTATGGAAAGAAGGAAAGCTATTTAGCGACTGGAGGAACAGCCATCTAGTAAAACTGTCAAAGAGAAGCACGCAATCATGCACCTGCCCACTCCAAGCAGAATACCAAGCCACATTATTCTGGAGAGATGCAATGATTGCAAAACTCCATCCGAAACAAGCTGGGTTCAAGAAGAGCAAATTGTTTGCAGAGCATAGAATAGCAATCAACTCAAATTCTCCACTTCCTCGGCTTTGAAAGTCGTTCGATGAAGTTGATCGTAAATTTGGAAAATGCTTAAACAGTATGTAAAGCCGCAAACATTTATCGACTACACTCAAATACTATATGATGGTTGTGCCACATGCCAAGTGATTCACAATAGCAAACTCAGCGAAGTCCTTTGAAGCAAAAACAAGAGTAAGAAAAGACTGCCTGCCTACTATCACCGATTATATTACTGATTAGGGTGCAATAGATCATGCAGCCGACTGTGGGCAGCAAGAAGACAGAAACACGTCGGACCAGTAAGAAAACCTCAAGAAGATTTAGACTTACTAGATAATTAATTCATGTCTAATGTCGTGGAATCTCGAAGGTCTACAAGCGAAAACTAGCAAGTTGGCGAAATAAACAATAAAGACAGGGATTCAAGGGAACACAGAGAAAATAAACGTGATGAAGATACCTAAATACCAACAGCAAGAAGCAGAAACTACTATCAACGGGAGAAATCTGAAGAAAACCATCTTTTTTCACTTATCTAAACACCATCATTTCAAGTACATGATCCAGGGATAAGCATATCAAAGCCAACTAGGATCGGTGAAAAATGACATGCTTTCATTACGCTTAAGTTAGTTTGGATAACTACAGAACTTAGCAAAACGAATAAGATCTGAAGTTTTAACATGAATATCAGCTAAATGCTTCTGTATGTTTCAGTAACTTGGCAAGTGAGTGATGAAGAGCACTTTCAATCCGATTACTGCAAATTTTCATCAACAACTGCCTTTTGTCGGTACAAAAGATTGGATGGCTGTGAAGGATATGGCAATAAGTGAATATGGCAGTTAGCAAACCA